GTTGGGACTGTTAAACCACTCCTTGTCAGATGTTAGCCTCAGCTGCTGTGGAGCAGAAGGAGAGCAGCTCACATCTGCTCCAGGCACACTACTGCAGGTGTCTACATTACATACACTACTACATGTATCTACATGCTAACGTCAGGGAAAGATGTAATCTTGGTTGCTGACTGATTTTGCATCCTATTCCTGCGGGAACATGTCCCATCGGGAAGTTTTTATTCACGATTCAGGGTAGAGTGTGCTGCTGTTAGCCATTACAGTCACTCTCCAGGCTGCAATGACGGTGCAGTAAAATGGAAATGCTGACCAATTAGAGCAGACTCCACTTTTTTGGGAGGGGTCTTAAAGAAGCAGGTGCCAAAACGGAGTGACAGAGGGTAAATTAGAGGTCACCCCTGGAAAATAAAGTTGAAGCATGTAAACATGTTCTAGTAGAAACCCAAACTACAAGTACGAACGTTAAGATCAGCACAATAGGTCCCTTCAAGCAATGATTTAATCTTAAATTTGTCCCTCCATTCTTGCCATTGTCTCTCCAGAAATGAGGCAGAAGTTTGACGCAGGTGAGGATCCCCTGGACCCGGAAAACCAGCAAGGTGGCGGCGGAGGTGGAGGGCAGGGCTGGCCGTATCACTTCAACCCTTTTGAGTCTGGCGGCAGCTTCCACTTCAAGTTCCACCACAACTAGAGTGGCGGAGGTGACGAACACGAGGGGGGGGCGGGGGTTAGGGACATTTGGGAAGATCAATAACGGATTTATGGAGGAGTCTTCCTCAGAACTTGTGCTTCAGCTTGGACACAGTTTCGTCGGTTACTTGAACCTTTTGATTTTTAACGCAGCGGAGGCTTGAGCTGTACAGTGAAAGGAAAATGGACTTCCAGCCACTAACACTAAAGATGTGACCGTGGCTGCTGTCTAATTAACTCATCGCTGCGGTTGAAGAAAATGAAGTCAACACTTGAGATCCTTAGGAACGGAAAGGTGGTGGTTGAAAGGAGTCGATGTGGGTGTCTGCTCTTGTTCCTTATTTCTTTCTTTGTGCCATTCTTTGAACCTTTTGTGAAGGGGCTCTTTTTTTAATGCAGTACTTGTTCGGACAGTTCGTAGGAGGACTGTCAGTGTGTTGGTTTCTGCTCACAGTATTCTGCAGAGGAATTACATGTTTACCGATCTCCATATTTTTGACCATGTCAAACTTCTCTGTGCTATAAAACTGAGATTTTTATACATCACGACATCAGGAGGCATTTTGTTTGAGCGTCTACATTGATGGTGAGTAGACGAGACTTCAGCACTGTTAAAGGAAACTTGTGGGTGAAATCCTATGGGTCTTAAATCAGTGATTGTTTTTGATTTGATTTTATGAGGTACGTTTAATATTCTTCAACCTGGTCACTTCTTGTCTCGTGTTTTTGTGTCTACGCAAGACTAATGAAGACCAATTTTTTTAAACTGGTCCAGTATTGAGCGAGAGTATTGCAGTTGGCAGCAGTGAAACAGGCTGCAATTTTAGCACTCGGGGCTTGTTCGCACCCTCAGTTCACGTCCACTTTAAGTGCGTGTTTTTGCCACTGACAGGCTCAGATTGTTATTCTAAGTGTCTGATATAATGGAAACGATCCATACAGAGATAGACCTTTTTGTTAAAGAGAAAGATCCCTTCAGTTTAACCAAAAACAGCCTTGAAATTGCGATCACCATACACACCAAACTGCATTTAAATAATAAGTAATTTCAGCATGTATAGCGCCAGAATATTTTCTTATCGAAGGGGGTAAACTAAAGGTTTATTTCAACCAAACCAGAGTTGGTGATTATTGGAACAGTGGAAAGATGAACCAAGACAGCCAGAGTTTTATTTTATTTCTGTTGAGTGTTTTCTTTGTGTTTTACGATGATAAAATTACTGGTCATTTAACCCTTTAAAACCTGAGCACATTGGCTTGATTTCTTTCAAAAACATGGAAAGAAGGCAACGAGCAACGAAAGAACAAATGGCCTAAAAAAAATTGCAAGAAATTAGTAAAAAGAGAAAATTAAAAACAAGAAAATTGGTTAAAAAAAAGTTAAACAAACAAGAAAATGAATCTAAATCTACAATTTTTTTCGCTATTTGTGGGACTTTTTTTTTTTTTAAACCAAGTTGCTATTGCATTTTTTCTCATATTTTTTTAAAGAAATTGCACCAATTTGTGTAAAATTAAAAAGTTAAAATACTTGCGAAATGTGTCTAAAAGCAGTACAAGAAAAATTTGTCGTTCCAGGTTTTGAAGGGTTAAATGGAGTCTACTGGGTTTCACAACGGTAATTTTGGGGCTGTTTCTGGTTAAACAAAAAGGTCTATCTCTGTAGGGATCCTTTTATAATGTTGCCAGACACTTAAAATAATAATCTGTGCCTGTCAGTGGCAAAAACAAAAACTTTCAGTAGACGTACAATTGCCCTTAATAGCTACATCGCAGCCTGTTTCGCTCAGTACTAGACCAATTTCAAAAATTGTTGTTGCCATCAGTCAGTTAGACACAAAAACATGGGAAATAAGGGCCCAGGTTGAAAACAGAGAACTTACCCTTTAAATTATGATTTGTTTTCAGCAGCTATCTAATCAGAATAATGTGTGAATTTTGTATTTCAGTGGAAATATTATCTCTTCAACAGGCTTTATATCCAGGTTTAAAACATTATGGATGTAACTGTTAATTAAAACTCACGTCACCATATTTAACTGACGAAAAAAGTTAAATATTCTGGACAAAAGCAGAGCAATTCATGACTGAGTCCAAGGTTGTAGTATTTCGCCCTTTTCCCTCGTCACTCATTTCAAAGCACGTCTTTGAAAACTTGCACTTTTACCTTTTATGTTTGAAAAACCACTCCACATCTCTTCCACTCCTGAAACGTTACTGTGGGCTTTAGAAAAGCCTTTCAAAGACTCTTTACAAACCAAGTGTGTCTTCTGTGGTTCTCTCAAAGCCTCATTTTGGAAAAAGGTCTATCAGAAAAATGCACATTTAAAATGTGATGCTGAGCTGGAGCGGGTGTGTTGCATTAGTTACAGGTCTGCGACGTATTGTATGTAATTCATATACAGTGCATTTGTATAATTTGTCTGACAGGATGCATTTGAAAATATCAATAAGGCTCCAGTTTTACAGCCAGGAAAGACACACAACAGTTTAATAAAGATCTGACTTTCTCAGTACAAACTACGTTATTGTGTCACTAACAGCTTAAAGATACAGTGACCATAACCGCTTCCTGTCCACTGCTCGACTGTGTGAACCAAATGTGACTGGCTCTTTGTATTTAAATGGACTGAGTGGGATGGTTTTGTTTCTGGGTTTTCTTTTTAGGGGTTTCTGCTGTTTGTGGCATCAATTTTACTGTTGCCAGACTGAGTCAGCTGACATGCTCAAGCATATTAAAATATTGAAACAATCCAAGTTTGTCCTGATTTCATGATGCATGGTGTGAAAGAGATGGAGACAGAACAGCTCCCCCTGCAGCTTTTATGGGGATATTTTTCCTAACTTGCACTACAATTGAAGGGTAAGTTCAGTGTTTTTCACCCTGGACCCCATTTTCACGTTTTCATGACTGATGGGAACAACATTTTTTTTAAATTAGTCCAGTTTTAAAAGAGAGGGCTGCAGTGTAACCACCCTGGGCATGTTTGCACCCTCAATTTCTCGATTTACATCCTCTTAAAGTGTTTGTTTTTGTCACTGACAGGCTCAGATTATTATTCAGGTGTTTGGCAACATTATGGAAAGGATCCCTACAGAGATAGACCTTTTTGTTAATGAGTAAGATCCTTTTTGTTTAACCAGAAGCAGCCCCAAAATCACCATTGCCAAACCTACCAGACTCCATTTAAATAAACAGTAATTTAAGCGTGTATAGAGTCAGCATATTTTCACGTCTAACTGGGTGAATTAAAGGTTTATTTCAACCAAGTATGAGTTGGTGATTGTTGGTACAGTGGAAAGACGAACCAAGATGGTTTTTGTGAGTTTTATTTTGTTTCTGCTGACTTTCAGTGAAGTGTGTCTTATGATGATAAAATCACTGTTTATTTAAATGGAGTCTGGTGGGTTTGACGATAGAGAATTCAGGACTGTGTTTGGTTAAAAAAGTCTGCAGTTGACAGCAGTGAAACAGGCTGCGAAGTGTTTGTTTTTGACACTGACAGGCTCCGATTTTTATTTTTAAGTGTCTGACAACATTATGGAAGGATCCCTACAGAGATAGACCTTTTTGTTTAACCAGAAGAAGCCTGGAATTCGTTATCGTCAATTCCACCAGACTCCATTTAAATAATCAGTGATTTTAAAATTAAACTCTCAAAAAGCCATCTTGGTTTGTCTTTCTACTGTTCAGCAATCACCAACTCTTATTTGGTTGAAATAAACCTTTAATTCACCCAGTTAGATGTGAAAACATGCTGACTCTATACACGCTAAAATTACTGTTTTTTTCAATGGAGTCTGGTGGGTTTGGCAATGGCAATTCTGGGGCTGTTTCTGGTTAAACAAAAAGGTCTATCTCTGTAGGGATCCTTTTCCATAACGTTGTCAAACATTTACTACTGTCAACAGCAAAAACAAGCACTTCTAGGGGACGTAAATTGACAGGTTTGGCAATGGTGATTTCAGAGCTGTTTCTGGTTAAACAAAAAGTATCTTACTCTTTAACAAAAAGGTCTATCTCTGTAGGGATCCTTTCCATAATGTTGTCAGACACTTGAATAACAATCTGAGCCTGTCAGTGGCAAAAACAAACACTTTTAGTGGACATAAATTGACAGTACAAAGTTCTGAGTGGTTACACTGCAGCCCTCTCTCTCAATGCTGGACCAGTTTCAGAAATTGTTGTTCTCTTTAGTCACTTAGACACAGAAACACAGGAAAATGGGGTCCAGAGTACACTACCAATTTAGCATTGCACTCCCATAACATTTAGAGTTAGATATTAAAAAACAAAAGAGGATCCAAACTGATGCAGAGATACCTTCTTTTTATTCCACTCAATCTGGCGCCTACATTGCCCACAGTGCTGGAAACCTCACTTCTTTAACTCTGAACCCTCGGATGTTTTTCATATTCAAACTCAAATTTAAGAAACTTTCTTGTGGCTCCCTCTGGAGGCGCAAAAGGCTTCCCACAACTTCCTTTACATGTGTAGTTGTACCATTTGAAGCCTGTTAATAGACTTAGATGTGAAGAATTGCATAGCACCTGATACATTTCTACCCAACATTTGTTTACAAGAATTAACGAAACACAAAGTCTCAAATACACAAATGTATTTAAAACATCATGAAACAAAGACGTTTACTGTACACAACACTGAATCACCATTTCTGCACATCTTGTTTGCCCACACACGCTGTATCATACAGCGGCCTCATCTTCAAGCTTCGAGGGAATGGCTGAATCCAGAATACTGACACAGGAGTTCTGTATCTGAGGTGAAGTCACCTCCAGTGAAGATGTCCACTCTCCTCTGAGCTCGGCCGTACAGCCTGAGCTCACTGAGAGAGTCAGTCTGAGCACTGAGTGTCGTCCAGACAGGAAGGGTCTCCATCAGTGGTTCGCTCCGAAGCCTTGTGCGTCCTCCAGACTGTCTGCCTCCACCTCGATGGATACCACGTGGTGACCGGGGATCATGGCCAAGCCCAGGACTCTGGGCTCACCCTGGGAAAAAGTGTCTGGAGATAAAAAATACAATCATATAAACATCACCCAGTTTCAGATCTTAAAATCTGTCTTCTTCCTGGTTGGACACCTTCAGTCGTCACCCACCTGTGGATTTGAGGAACTCCTGAGCTGACCCGAGGATGACGTTGCAGTCTCGGTCCGTGCAGAGGAACAGCCCCACCAGAGTCCGTCCGTCTGTCATGCGGATCCTCATGTTCTTGTTCAGGAGCCCCTCCAGTTTCTGCCGGGCCTGAGACGACGAGGACACCTCAGACTGCTCCTGGGTGTGGACAGAAAGGTAAGACACTAAACAAACATTGAACAAAATGGCGGAACAAGCGGTCAATTACCTGATTAAGTTAATGGGCAAACAAACGTAACTTACTTTTGATTTACTTGTAGTAATATTAACACATTTGATGCTCCTATTTTGCAGTTTTCAGTATTAAAATCATCCAGAAAGGTGTATGATAAGTTTACAAATATAGCTACATATTTGGAGTCCAAGACTAAACAAGTATCTCTTAAATACAGGCTAACGTTAACGTTACATGGTGTAAACAGGTGACAGTTGTACTAGCTAGTTCGTTAGCCACCGGCTAGCGTTAGCAACAACTACACCCTTCATTATAATTGAATATGTTGTAAGCTAACTCTATTCTCTCCGTCATAACACGTCAAACACCGTGAACAGTATTTTAAAGTACTAAAAAAATAAAGAGAGAATCACATACATGAGTCGAAGGACCATTTTCCTCAATCATTGTTGCCATAACCCTCCTCCTCCTCCTCCTTCTTCTTCTTCTTCTCCTACATTTGCTGACGGAACAATTTGTGTGACGGACCAGTGAAACCGGAAACTGAGTATCCGGGGTTTTTTTTTCCTTCTTAAAGAGACCGACACCAGGAAGTTAGTGATGCAGCAGAATATTAAATAAATAATAATAATAATAATAATAATAATAATAATAATGATAAATAATAATAAACATTTTAATTGTTTCAAATACATAAGTTATCTGTCCAATCCAATCAATTTATCGTCCTCTAAACCCTCTAAATCCACCTAAATTAATCTCAATCACCCCCTCAGAAGTTGAAATATTAATATATCTGGTTTGATCAGCCATTTTGAATTTTGAAAATGTCAGAAATTGATTCAGCTTCCTCAATAACCCCCTAAAACCACTCCAGTGCTGTCCAAATAATCCAAGCAGTTGCTGAAATATAGTATGCCTTAGAACATTCATCAGGACTTGGGTTGGGAACCGGAGGGTCGCCGCTTCAAGTCCCTGTGGACTGAGCATGGAGCATAGACAGGTAGCTGGGGAGATGCCAGTTTGCATCCTGGGCACTGTAGAGTTGCCCCCGAGCAAGACACCCAACCCCCAAGTGCTCGGGGTGCCCTTCCAACTCAGCCCCTGTGTGTATATGTATGTACAGAGCATTTGAGAATACTCAATTATTTTTTGAGGCCATGTTAAACTCTCTGAAGATACAGAATGCAGAAACTGAAGTGTTGAGCAATTCCACAGACTGTGTTTCATTCCTGGGCAGGAGGAGATAAGACAAGACAAGTTAAGACAAGATATGATAAGACGAGACATAATAACTGATCCCAGAGTGGAAAACTACAGACCTAAGAACATGTATAATGTCATGGTAATTAAATATGTAGAGAGTATGAGTTATTGATCAGAAGAATCATCAGTTTCTCAGCTATACTCCTGATTCAGCCAGATGTTTTTGATATGTTGTTTCCTCAGGCTCTGGTCCACAGTGATCACACTGATGACTAACTGAGTGAAGTGCTGCACCCTCAGGGGAGGTTTGTGCACATGTTCCCCTCCCGGCCTGCACCGACTGGGCCAATAGTGTGAGGAGGGAGTAATGATACGAGATGGGACTGTTCAACATCTTCACATCACAGGGTTACAGCTGGAGGTGAGGAGCATGTGCTGGAATGCAACTTTTTTTTGTGACTCTACAATGAAACCATGTTTGCTTGTAGCCCCGTGTCACAGCCAGGTACATGCCAGCTTTTAGTGACCAGTTCAACCAGAGTTATTTAACATCAAATTTGTTTAGTAATGTAAAAGAAATGTGAAAGAAGGAGACATGATATTTAGAAGAAGAAAAAAAAATGTGTGGCTGAAATACGTTTTTTATGTCTCCACACGATACACCAATAACCATAGCTGGAGGCATCATATTTTCAGGTCGTCCGTCCCATCCTTGTGTACATGATATCTCAAGAACACCTAAAGGGAATTTCTTCAGATTTGGCACAAATGTCCACTTGGACTCACTGATGAATTTATTCGTTTTTGGTGGTCATAACCTAAAGGTCAAGGTCACAGTGACCTTGCATCCATCTCATTCTTGTGAACAAAATATCTCAAGAACGGGTTGAGGGAATTTCTTCAAATTTGGCACAAATGTCCACTTGGACTCACTGATGAATTTATTCGTTTTTGGTGGTCATAACCTAAAGGTCAAGGTCACAGTGACCTTGCATCCATCTCATTCTTGTGAACAAAATATCTCAAGAACGGGTTGAGGGAATTTCTTCAAATTTGGCACAAACTGATTATATTTTAGTGGTCAAGGATCAAAAGTCGAGGTTGCTGTGACCTTGCATCAATATAATTCTTGGGACCTCAATATCTCAAGGTAGTCAGGATCCAAAGGTCAAGGTCACTGTGACCCTGCATCCATCTCATTCTTATGAACAAAATATCTCAAGAACGGGTTGAGGGAATTTCTTCAAATTTGGCACAAACTGATTATATTTTGCTGGTTAAGGATCAAAGTCGAGGCCACTGTGACCTTGCATCCATCTCATTCTTGTGAGCACAATATCTCAAGGTAGTCAGGATCCAAAGGTCAAGTTCACTGTGACCTTGCATCCATCAGGGAATTACTTCAGAGTTGGCACAAATATCCACTTGGATTCAACAATAAACTGATTAGTTTTTGGTTGTCATAGCTCAAGGTCACTGTGACCTTGACGGTCTCATTTTTTTATGAACACAATATCTCAAGAACACTGTGAGAGAATTTCTTCAAATTTGGCACAAACTGATTATATATTGGTGGTCAAGGATCAAAAGTCAAGGTCACTGTGACCTTACATCCATCTAATTCTTGGGAACTCAGTATCTCGAGGTAGTCAAGGTCCAAAGGTCAAGGTCACTGTGACCTTGCATCCATCTCATTCACGTGAATGCAGTATCTCAAGAAGTGCTTGAGGGAATTTCTTCAAAGTTGGCACAAATATCCAGTTGGACTCAACAATAAACTGATTCGTTTTTAGGTTGTCATAGCTCAAGGTCACTGTGACCTTGATGGTCTCATTTTTTTGTGAACGCAATATCTCAAGAACACCGTGAGGGAATTTCTTTAAATTTGGCACAAATGTTCACTTGGACTCAACGATGAACTGATTGGATTTTGGTGGTAAAAGCACAAGGTCAGTGTCGGGGGGCTTGATTCTGAACAACTTCTTGTTTTTCTTTTCCAACTTTGATCATTTCTGATCCATTCGTGAATTTATTAATATATGTTTGTACATCAGAATCTCCTACGGTTTAGTTTTAGTACATCCTTGCTGTATTTATTTAAAGATTAGTATCCTTCTATCTATTTTTTTTGTTTTGTTTTGTTTTTATGTGTGTGTTTTAGCCTCTTTTTATGTTTTTCCTTTTCTTTTTAAAATAATATTTCAAATGCACAGGTGGAAACCTGACACATTTTGGAACTGCTCCTGCCCTCCTGTACTGTAATTTGAGCATCTGTTAATAAAAACATATCTTTGCAAAAGGTCAAGGTCAGTGTGACCCTGCATCCATCTCATTCTCATGAACACAGTATCTCAAGAACACCTTAAGGGAATTTCTTTAAATTTGACACGTATGTCCACTTAGAGTGAAGAATAAACGGATTAGAAGTTGGTGGATAAAGGTCAAGGTCACTATGACCTCACAAAATATGTTTTTTTGCCATAACTCAAGAATTCATACACTAATTATGACAAAACTTCACACAAACATCTAAAAGGATAAAATAATGAAGTGATGACATTTTATATCCAAAAGGTCAAAGGTCAGCTTCCCTGTGACATCATAATGTTCTGTAAAAACACTTTTTCGGCCATTTGCCAACCTCATATCTGACATTTGGCCAGATACTTAATCATCATGCCACCTTAATTGGTTGTTTTTAATAAGAAATTGGTGACATTTCCAGCAGCAATTGTGGCACTAAAACCAGTTGTTTTTAGCAAGACGTCAGCAGCATTTCCAGCAGTGACTGTCCCACCAAAACTGGTTATTTTGTAGTGAGAAATTGGCAACATGTCTAGTAGCGATTGAGGCCCCCAAACTAGCTGTTTTTAGAGATATTGGTGCATTTTCAGTGGTGATTGTTCCATCAAAACCAGATATTTTAAGCCCAAACATGATCTTTTCATAACCACGTCTAGGTGGTTTTTATGCCTTAACATAACCACACTTTAAACCGTGAACAATATCCACTGCATAATGACATACAAATGTTAGATGTGTGGTTTGCAGAAACAAGATGCCGACATTTGTTCTTTTGATGCGTTTGCTCTGATGGACAGCCACTGTCTCTGTGACATGGTCACCTCTTTGCACTTTAAATTCTATTTCGTAGGAAATAAGAACATTTTGTAGAGGGTTTTTTTTTTTTTGCAGAGATTGGGGTTGAGACCTTGCCAAACCAGAATAAAAGATTCTAAAGCAAATTAAACACTGATGAAGTCTCAAAGGTCAGAAGAAGCCATAATTGGAACCTATTAACTGGCGCATGCATGACTGAACACAAAAAGAATATGTCATACTTTAAAACACTTTTGTTGGGATATGCAGAGCTAACTTCTTCTCCTTGGCACCCGCTGCCTGAACATTATTTAAGCACTATCTGCTCTCAGGGTCGCCTCGGTTCAGACAGCTCAGCTCTGAATGGAGCACAGGAACCTTCCTCTGTGTGTCACACTGCATAAAATCTGGGTTAGCTACAGCGCAGCACCCAGGGGAGGCGCTTTTTCCTCTCATCCTCGACATGTCTCCCTGCCAAACGGACACAGGGGGTGTTGGAGGGGAGAGGAAAGGGGGGGCCACAGCACAGTAGTGCAGTGTGTCAGGGCCTGCGGCATCTGAGAGAGAGTGCCGGCTAGTTTCAGATGCATAGTGAGACACATGCACAGTCATGGCTTCAAATACCTCACACACACATGGATGCTGTGTAGGTGAGGGTATATAAAGCACACAAACACAAATGCACATAAACACACACGTCTCGCCAGCCACCCAATCTGGAGACAGCAGACACCTCTGTGGCCAGAGGCTTCATGGGGGGGCTTCCAGTCAGATGCACAGATGCACACACACTCCTCCTCCCCCCTGTGGGTCTTGCATTGCGCCGTGCCTCTCTTGGCAGATGTAGCCGTTGGATCAGACACTTACAAATTCCTCTCTTGTCGTTTGTGGGCGCGGGGAAGCCGAGCCGGAGCGGCGCAGGCACCTGTTGCAGCAGAGGGAGCACGAGGTGTAATTGAAATGCTTGTTTACATGAGATCCAGTTATGGGTGTAAAAAGCCGCAGCTGACAGATAAATATACACAAACAGAATGCAAAAACAAAGCTCCGCACAATGAGGCTGCTGTCTTCCCTGGTTCTTGCCTGAAAGGCAGACCAGCCTTGAAAATACAATGTGATGTTGGGATTGTTCTCACCATATCCCATGAAAATGATTCCACTCTCACTCATAACATAAAGAACACATTTGCATATTTGTTATACAGCTACAAATGTGTTGGGT